CATGTTTCAGCCAAAAAAAAAAAAAGTATACAAGTGGGCTAAATTGTTTAAAGAAGGGCGAGGCAGTGTTGAGGATGAAGACAAGCTTGGGTGGGGGGCTACAGAAGTGAGGTCTCCTGAGGTGATCGAATCAGTCAATGACCTCATTCAGACTGAGAGAAAGGTGACAGGGGAAGACATTGCAAGGACTTTGAGCTTATCTGTTGGGACAGCACACAGAATTTTCCATGATGACCTTGGCTACTCGAAGGTCAGCTGCCGGTGGGTACCAAAGATGCTCACTGCAGAGCACAAACAGAGGAGGGTCGAGTTGCCCCAGCAGTGTCTCTCCCGCTATGAGAAGGATGGTGATGAGTTTTTGAAGAAGGTGGTCACATGTGACGAGACATGGGTTTGGCACTATGAGCCTGAGTCCAAACGGCAATCCATGGAGTGGAAACACGTAGTCTCTCCAGCGAAGAAGCAGTTCAAGTCCCAGCGGTCCACGAGGAAGGTGAGACTCACCGTTTTTTGGGATATGCAAGGCCCAATCACCATTTCATTCCTTGAGAAAGGAAACACTGTGAACAGTACCAACTACTGTGAACTGCTGAGGCAGGTCAAGAAAGACATAAAGAACAAATGCAGGGGTCATCAGTCAGAAGGAGTCATCTTGCAACATGACAACGCAAGGCCTCACACAGCAGCCCAAACGGTGCAGACCATCAACGAGCTGGGCTGGGAACTGCTCCCTCATCCCCCTTACAGCCCAGACCTTGCCCCTTCAGACTTTCACCTGTTTGGTCCCTTGAAAGCCTTCACGAGAGGCACAAATTTTAAAAGTGACGATGAAGTCAAAAGTGTTGTGAGCGACTGGCTGAGACATCAGTCCAAAGATTTTTACACTGAGGGAATACGGAAGCTTGTGCACAGATGGTGACAGTGTGTGACAGTGCTGGGAGACTATCTTGAAAAAAAAAAACAGTAGGCTTCTATCTGTATTAGAAGTCCTTATACCGAAAAATTCACCTTATTTATTGAATGAACACACACACACACACACACACACACACACACACACACACACACACATATATATATATATATATATATATATATATATATATATATATATATATATATATATATATATATATATATATGCAAGGTGATAACATGCATCATCCAAGGGACTACTGGAAGTGAAAGAGAAAGCGAACAATTCTACAACGAAACAAACACAATTATAAATAGGAAATTAATCATAAAACTCTACCCCTGCTCAAGTGTGTACTAATGTTACGATTTCAAATGTTATTATAATGGACACTTCTTATTTAAAATAGACACCCCGTTTTTATTTATTAAACAATGTGCATTTCGTCTATCGGTCTGCGCATTCGAAAAATCTAAGGAAAGATAATACGTCCTCCTGTAGCGATCGAACCTGCGTTCCCCTTTGTAGGGGGAATGTACTTCGGTCCGGTTTTCTTCACAATTTTTACTCATTCTAAGGAAAATTTATTTTCTCACAGATTATTTTTCTCGGGAGACCATTTCTGCTCTGTTTCGCATTCCGAAACGTAAATGAAACAATTTCTAGAGAATATTAAGAAATATTATATATATATATATATATATATATATATATATATATATATATTATATGCAACAGACAGTGGTATTATACTCCCTTTGTTCTTATCCCATATATATATATATATATATATATATATATATATATATATATATATATATATATATATATATATATATATATATATATCATGCATAGGTAGTGAATGTGTGGCTGTTCGAATCACAGTGTCTAGGAAGGAAATTGGATTATGTTTGTACAAAAGAATTGGGGATAGAGTTTGGAAAGTTTCTTTTAATTATTTTTTTTTATTTCATCAAAGTGACATATATCAAGTTAAATAGGAAATCTATATATGAGGAGCATATGAATTAGATTTTATTTTATATTTAAAAATTAATTTTTTTCAAAATGCGAAACGTAATAATTGTAAATCATCAGACTCAGTGAGATAGCGTCTAGCTTTTTGCAGAAGTTGCTAAGGTAATCGTAAAAGAGAACTTGTACAATGCAACCTAAAAGTTATTCACGAATGGTAGTAGTGTGAATTTTAAGGAGGTTTATCGAAGTGAAGTATATTTATAAAGATATTGCAATATAATATCAATAGTTTCCTTGACAAGAAAAGTAATAAAAACGTTTCCTCCGTCGAAAGGATCTAAAATACCGTTATTAGGTTTGGTGAAGTGTGAAATTTGTAGAAATTCACAAACAACCCTGACACTCTTTTTATTAACGAGATATTATATATATATATATATATATATATATATATATATATATATATATATAATAACAGAGAAAAGAGAAAGAGTTGCGTATCTGTGTAGAAACTTGTGTACTAAATATTTTATTGTAAGTGAATGATAAGTTATTTTGTTGAGTTTTTTTTTTTCAAGTCTGAAGACTAACACACATAACAAGTTGAAACACCGGTTCTCGTTCGATCACCAAAGTTAACCAACGTCGAAACTGGTCAGTAACAAGATGGGTGACCGCTCGGGAAATTCAGGTGTTGTAAGCTTGAACGTGCGGTGGGATAATGGATAAAGGCTTGGGACAGGAAATCTGAGACCTTCGTTCTAATTCCAGTCAAGTTCGTCATATTAACTTCTGCGCAAATAACCCTGGGAAAGGTATGATTTTGTATGTACAATGCATTACATATATTTTTTGCGGGTGTAGATATATCGTATGGAAAACAAACAAAATATATATATATATATATATATATATATATATATATATTATATATATATTGTGTGTATTTAGGCAGAATTTTTCATTCATGCATGTTTCATTAAACATAGACAAGTGTTGTCTATTTATTTTATATAAATTCTTTTCATAACGTCTGATAAGCTTAATAACATTATCATTAAACGAAGAAAGAAAATCACAGTATTGATCCATATTTTTTAATCCAATCTAAGCTTTCGGCTTACATAAGCCATTATCAAAGATGTCAATTACTGTACAATATATTAAGAAATATACAGACAAGACAGTGATGATAGTCTGTTATTGTTTACATGGATGATTTCCAAGCAACGATAAACACGTGCATATAAAACGCTAGAAGCGAAAATCGCACCGCAGCTCATGACGTCACATAAGACCACGCGAGAGTGAATTCGAGAATTATTAAGTATGGAAACCAATGGACTCTGTTACAATTATAGACATTTAACGATATTTGTAGATATTCCATACTTGATTTTTTTATGTTAGGTTTCAACTGCTTTATGCATATAGCTTCAACGATTTTTAGTTTTTGTTTATTGTTTTCATGTTTAAGTATAATTGAGTTTTCGACAAGGATTTTACGGAATTGTGTGTGCGACCATGCATGTTAAAATGTTTTAAATGTCTAAAAATGTTAGAATTTTCATTTAAACAAATTGGATTACAAGAAAAAACTTGACCACATACTCCATGATCACACCAAGTTTAAAAAAACTTAACAAGAATCCGACCAACCAACTAAAATCAAAGATTAATAAAGTTATTAATGCTAATAATGCTGAAAAGAACTCTTTAAAACTCCCTAAAATTTTTGGTGATTATAAACCTGGTTACATATATGGCACTATAAAAACACGTAAACCCTACTCTCCTCTCTACTTCAATCGAAACCTGATCGATTTGGTAACGCCGGAGGGTCTAACCCCTAGACTATTGACGCCCACCAGGCAGAATGGCGAATTTTTGCATATTTACTTTATCATAGATAGATAGATAGATAGATAGATAGATAGATAGATAGATATGTAGAAGTTCTTAGTGTCATCTACTTTGCAATCAGGAGGCTGAAGTCATAGTTGAAACCGAGTGTGTAATTTTAACTGTCCTGACCTGTTACTTTATCTTCAAACCGCCGTAACGTTGCTTCTATGTACCTTTTAGACAAATATTTCATACCAGAAGCTGTAAGAAGCTCTCCTCTTTGCTACCTCGAATTCTTGAATTTAATTGTATTACTAGATTGGCAGTTACACTTGAAGTTATGTCGCAACATTGTTGAAATAGCTAGATGTAACCATAAGTTCTCTTCTTCTGGTTTCTTCCCTTGCAATACTCATCTCTGAAATTCTCTCCCAGCTTCTCGCTTTCCTCTCAACTACGATCTTCAAAAACTAAAATGAAACATCAATCGATATATCTCCTTGAATCTTCTTATTTCTGTAGTCCTAAATTCATGGTAATGCTTTCTCAGAGTCCGTTTCGCTATTTCTTTCATACTCAATAAGATTTTAGTAGCTTTATTGCCTTACCTAAAGTGAAATTTATAAAAATGTACGCGTGAAGTTCTTCATTTTTACAGTTATCGAAAATATTTAATAAAAGAAACAACAATACATTAAATATATGTCTTAGACTGAATGATTTTGTCTTCAAGTTGATGAAGACATAGGAAGAATCGAAGATGTTTGATGAAAATATGGAGATGGACCCTCTTTTAGCCGTACGTATTGCAAATGGTTATTTATTATCTGTGAACCATTCTTGGTAAAGATAGTAGAGTGGTTTCCTCTTGCATTCTCTATGGTTTGAAATTCCAGAGTTTTCCTTCTATGTCAACTAAGGCTAAAAATGCACTCTACAATGTAGTTTAATTCATAAATGCAGGCGGATTGATCTCATTTGAACGGAAGAGAACGCAAGAGAATAATCTGCAATTTGAACCCTAATCTCCAATGGCATCTTCCAGACCAAGTAGAGTTTAAGCAAAGTGCATTTTCTTCGCAGAAAAGACCAAGCAGTAGTAGACTGTAGGAATTCGAAATGATGACATTGAATATTTTTTGGTTGATGACTTTTGTACAATCAACTTTTGAACTGCCTAAAATTCTTAGCGTCGTTATCTCAAAAACCGTTCGCAGAGTAAGATGTTCCCAAAACAATGAAAACAGTTTTCTACATGAATTCTTATGCAAAAGTAATAGACCACGACTCACGACCGGCGTTTCACTTTTTATCAAAGGTGAAATATCTCGTTTTTGTTCGAGACTCTCGGTTTGGTTAAATTTTGGTTCAGTCCTATAATCCGATGAGTCATGAACAGATTCTGAGCATTCTTCATTAAAAAAAAAAATAAATAAATAAAACCTTTTAGGTGACAAATTTATTGCTTTGTAATTGGTAAGATATGGAAGGCGTACTTTATTACGTTTTGGGAAACCGTCACTTCCGAATTGTGTACGTTGCAATTAAAGAAAAATCATCTCCCTACAAGAGAGTAAAGCCCTAATCATTCCACTGGAACCCTACAAGATGCAACCTTCAAAAAAAAAAAAAAAATAAATAAATAAATATAAAGAAATGCCTATTACCGTTAGACGACCAATTGCGTAGAAACAATCATCCAAACGTTCTTTCTTCTTTCTTTGTTTTTTCGTTTGTCGTCATGGCCATAATGGTGTTGAAAATACTTCCTATCTAGGCATCTTCACAAGACCTGGATTACTATATGTTTACCTGGTCTAACATTTAATGATATCTTCAGTGATAAAAAAGATTCCATTGACAAACTACCGCATCGAAGTCAGAGCCGTTTTATCACAATTAAATTTGAAAACTTCCGGAATATTTGGCGGAAGTTTATACAAAGTCTGAGAACATTTTGTTAATTAATAAATGTATTTTCTAGATTTATATTAATTAACTTTTAATAAAAACTGCTGTAGATTTTTCACACAGATGATAGGTGCATGTATGTGTGTGAACGTACAAAATGTATCTTTTGCTATATGCCGAGTCTCTCTAGGACATAGGTTATTACAGCTTTCAATAGTTTCCTATCCTTTCTCCCTTTTAGGAACGTTTATTTTTAATCTCTCCAGTTCTTTCATCTATTTACAAAAGCTTGTTACGTAGGTTAATCGCGGTTTCTCTCTGTCTATCTTACATTCAATATATTTGAGTTTCCAGTCTCCTTTCCTCAGTTTATATCCATTAATCTCAACTTTCACTTTCTAATTTTAAATGTAAGCTCCCTTTTTGTTTACATTGTCCTCAAGACTTGCACATTACTCACATTTTGTATCCATGGAATACTCTACATCTCACCATTTCCTGATGTCTATTCTCTTTTCCTGTTAAGTGAATGTCTGACATTGAATGCCTTATTGGAAAATGCAACCGTCTTTTATTTGTTTTAGCGAAAGAAATGGTCAAAGTAAAACAGAAAGAAGCTTTCTTAGTTTATTCATTAATCTTCATTTGTTACCATTTATAATTTAGTATAAATATGCAAGGATGCAATGAAACAATTTCATTGTGCAACAGCAGAAGAAACACGGCAATACTTTGCGCACCATCTATCATGCTTCAGTGCCACATATTCAGACATTTACAGCCTCGACTAAATTGATTTTTTCAAAGAAGCGCTATTCCAGTGTGGACGCGTTTCCGAACACGTCAAACTTATTAAGTTTAGGATCAAACCTTGTCTATTCTCCATATCCCCATAATCTTCAATAACTATTTTCTCCCCTACGCACATACCATACAACTTGAGTTTCTTCTTGACTATGTAGCTTATGAATATATATATATATATATATATATATATATATATATATATATATATATATATATATATAAATACTTGTATATATATATATATATATATATATATATATATATATATATATACATATATATTTTATTACAATAAACGTGCAATCAATTTTACAAATACATGAATTATTCACAAAACTAATGCAAAGGTTAATGATTTAAATGGCGAGACATCCATCTCGCAAACAATTCAAATAGTACACAAAAACCTCCAAAATCCGTTATGAATGAATTGATCCTTGTTTATATAAATTTCTGCCGTATTAGTTGTTATTTTTACTACAAGCTTTCGTCTGTTCCTACAGATATCTTCAGGTATATAATTGATGTTGTTCTTGTTTTTTTCTCTTAGTAATAAGAGGACATCGAAATATATGTGTATTGTATCCGAAATGCTATTCAAATAGTACACAAAAACCTCCAGATCCGTTATGAATGAAGGAGGTTTTTGTGTACTATTTGAATTGTTTGCGAGATGGATGTCTCGCCATTTAAATCATTAACCTTTGCATTAGTTTTGTGTGAATAATTCATGTATTTGTAAATTGATTGCACGTTTATTGTAATTTAAATAACTGATCCATGTGCGACTTTTGGTTAATAAGTGCGACATTACTGTAATTATTGAACAATATAGTTTATGCCACTTTGACAGTAAAATTTACCAGTAAAATAATTTGTTCATTACCATATTTGGTATAAACGCAAACACTTTAAAAAAAATTTTCAAACTCAGTGTTGCTTTGGCGCGTTCAAAAACCAACATCTCATTTTCAATAGCATTTCGGATACAATACACATATATTTTCGATGTCCTCTTATTACTAAGAGAAAAAAACAAGAACAACATCTATTATATAACTGAAGATGTCTCAGGAACAGACGAAAGCTTGTAGTAAAAAATAACAACTAATACGGCAGAAATTTATATAAACAAGGA